ATAGATAGATAGATAGATAGATAGATAGATAGATAGATAGATAGATATGATGGATGGATGGATGGATGGATGGATGGATGGATGGATGGATGGATAGTGGATGGTAGATAATAGATAGAAGGCCAGACAGAGACAGAGAGACTTACCATCTAAAACTTCCAATGAAGCACTACAGATAGACTGACCAGCCTGATTGGAGACAATACACGTATAGTTTCCACTATAGGTTTTTTCCACATCCAATAAGATCAGACTGTGCTGCATATTGGAACTGGCCAGTTTATAACCTGGAGTATCCGATTTGATCCAGAGGATGTCTTCACCATGAGATTCTTCCTTCAACCACGTTACTGAGGGTGATGGAGTCCCTAAAAGAAAAGGGGGGAAAAAAGGCAGTGAAGTTTTGGGGCAAAGATATGGAAAGACTTTTGGGGGGAAATTGTTGATTTATACAGACAAAATGATAAGGATGAGAAAAATGACTGCAGTACAGATAATCCTCAACTTACAACATTTCATTTAGTGACCATTCAAAGTTACAATGACACTGAAAAAAAGTGAGTTATGATCCATTTTCACACTTATGACCATGGCAGCATCCCTATGGTCACATAATCAAAATTCAGAGGCTTGGCAACTGATTCATATTGCAGTGTCCTGGGATCACGTTGATCCCCTTTAGAGATTTTCTGATGAGCAAATTCATTTAAAAAGCAGGTGATTAATTTAACAACAGCAGTGATTCACTGCATAACCATGGAAAGAAAGATGGTAAAATGAGGCAAAAGTCACTTAAGAAATGTCTCACTTAGCAAGAAAAAGTTTGGGCCCAATTGTGGCCATAAGTCAAGGATTGCTGCAGTCAAAAGGAGCGGATGAGATGGCTTTGGAGGTTATTTACCTTCCACCTTCACTGAAAGGGTAATGCTGACTCCTCTCCTCACTTTCTTGTTGGTAAATCTTTCCAGGAATCTTGGTGGCACCAGCTGCTCATAAATGTCTGAAAATTAAAATGTACGAAGCACAAGACGAACTTAGAGAGAGAAAAATAAGCCCCCAACTCAGACTATGCTTGCTTGGTTTTGCATGGACCAAGCACCCAAATGTCCTTGATTTGGGCAAAGCAATCCTCAAGCAAAGACACATGGAACTTTTGATATCTCATCTGTTTCATTTTCTTACCTTTTTCTTGTTTTCTGTCCTCACCAGCTCCTGCAAGAAGACAAGAAAGGGATTGAGTGAAATTATTTCATTATACCTCTCTCTCTCTCTCTTCCCCTCTCTTTTTGTATGCGCACCCTCTCTCTCTCTCTCTCTCTCTCTGTGTGTGTGTGTGTATATATATATATATATGTGTGTGTGTGTGTGTGTGTGTGTGTGTATGTGTGTGTACTATATGTATATATTCATTCTATCTACCCACCTATTCATCTATCCATCCGTCTATCCTTCTATCTATATCATCTCTCCCTGTATTCAATTTATCTATCTATCTATCTATCTATCTATCTATCTATCTATCTATCTAT